GAGGAAACTGAGATTCTGAGGAGGTAAGGAACTTGCCCAAGATTCCACAGCTAGGAACTGATAGGGGGAAGGCTTCTGGAACTCAGATCTCTCAATCCCATACTTTCATTTAGTTGTTAAAACGACACCATCCTGCCAAGTTTCCCTGAGCAAGGTCATTTTCCTTCTTCCTCTCTCCCCCTCCATACCCCAATGCCAACCTCTAGGGGGCCATTCATGACTCCCACTATCTCCTTGTTTTACTCCAAAAACAAAACACACACACAAAAACCTCGCAATACTCAGAATACTCCAGACTTCTTCTTTATGGAAAATTTCCCTTTTAAGTACCTGAGGACTAATTACTGTACATCACGCACACTGGACGGGCATGCTACTGATTTATACGTAACTTCTGAGTTCACCACACAGTTCCTGATGGCAGAACTCACTCATGGCTCATCCTTGCATCCTTTGAGACTAGCACAGTGCTCGGTACATGGCTCTGCCATCACACTGATTCTGACGCAGCCAACACACAGGGCAGGCGGGGTAGAACTGCCTATAGGCTCCCGAGACTGTGAATCTTTACATCTTTATGGGTGCAGACAGTCCATTTTTCTCCTGAAGAGCTGCTGGTGGGGTTTGAACCACAGGCCTTGAGGTTGGCAGCCCGGTGCTCACTCCACGGTGTCACCAGAGCTCTTTGGTACATCGTAGACCCTCAATATTTATTTATGGAATGGATACTTATCCCCATTGAATTTTGGTTTGTTGGGGTTCTTACTTATTAAGCACAATGAACTACAACTAGACATTCCCTCTTTGGCACCCTTCAGAAGTTAAAACACAAAAACAAAAGTGAAAAAGCAAAATGGATTCCCGCAAACCAAACCCAGTGCCATCAAGTGGCTTCTGAGACTGTCGATCTTGATCAGTGCAGACAGCATCGTGCTTCCCCCCACCCTCCTGTGCAGCCTGGTCCCAACACCTGACACGTAGGGCTACCTTGGCTCCTTATCAGAAGCGAAGCCTTTCTGTTATTTCCATGCCAGGGTGGTGGCAAAGGGGAATGGTGAGTACGGAGGAGTTGGGGACCTGAAACAAAACCGCACATTTGAAAGCTGTGACAGCGGGGAACTCCCTGCTCATCGTAGGAAAGGAGAGCGGGCTGAAGAAACCACTTCCTGCCCCAGGTCACCCCCGAGTTTTCCATGAGGGCCGTGGCGAGAGGAGGCAGGAGGAGGAAAAAGAACGAGAGAGAAAAGACCACGTTTGTGCAAACCACCAGTTCTGTCTAGAGTCTTAATGATTTTCCTGGGAGCAAGATGGGTTAGATGTCTAGACTCCCTTCCCCTTTGGTGAGTTCTCTGAGCTCAAGGGGCAGGTGAGCTGGGGATGGACTGGCTGGGCCTTGGGCCCACCGGATCGTCCACCGACACACATGGCGACCCACGGAGCATGATCAGAAGTCCACGGTTGGATGGGAGCCCGTAGTCTGATGGAAATTAATACCCACAACCATGCAGACTGCTGCTGCCCTGGAGTCCCCTTTTCTGCCACTTCCGGATGCTGTCACACCTGGCAAGCCCCCTCCCAGCCAGCAAATTGCAGAGGGAGGGAGGCGAGGAAGAGGGCCTGGAACAGCCTGCTTGCACAGGCTGACAGGGATGAGGGCAGGAACAGGAATGATGGGGGGCTGGGTGGGGGGTGGGAGGCTGGGTGGGGTGGGAAGCTGACAATAGCAAGCAGTTTGGAAGGGAAGGCTGAATGACTTAACATCGTTCTCCTCTTTCAGTCCCTCTCTCAAGCACCCAGGAGCTACGCACCACACACTGCCTCCTAAAGCCACCACCCTGTGCCCTCCTGCCCCCAGTCTGATGGCGGGTCCTCCGGGGGTTCGCAAGGGAGAGGGGAAGGCGAGCATCATGTGAAGGAGTCTTGGCACTGTCACTTTAAGGGGGTGTGGGGGCAGATGGAGGGCCTAGTTTGGCTACTTCACAAACCCAACTTTTTTTTTTTTTGACGGCATTACATTGGATTTATGAACCAGTTGCCATCGTGAAAATACTGAATCTCTCGAGCCAGGAACCATGAAATGCCTGTCCATTCATTATTTATTTTATTATTAGTTGGGAGTTGATACACATAGCATCTCATTCCATCGTTCAATCACGTCAAGCAGAATTGTACAATTGCTACCACGATCAGTTTAAACCTAATTTCTTCTAGTCTCCACTGCCGTTCCCTGGAATAGATAGTGCTATCCCTGTTTTCCAGATGGGAAAACTACAGGCTCAGGGAAATGAATCACATGATTCAACAGCATGTGATTGTTAAATGCAGGACCCCGGATTAAAGCGTGTGGGTGCCAGAATCGAAGGCCCTGCTATTTCTGCCATGCCAAATGATTTCCTCCCCCAGCGAGTCTCCAGAGAAGCAGACGGCAGGCTGGGCAGTTCCTCATTCCCCCAAACCAACCAGCTAATCTGCCACACACACATGCTCAGATTAGGCCTAGGGTAGGGTGGGGGCTTGTTCAAGAACACAGAGCAAATGGAGGTGGGGGGCAGAGAAACACCAGACACTCTCCTTTCTCCTACTCCCCACTCTGGCCTGCGTCCAATGGCCTGATGGCTCGAGGCTGGGATCCCCAGGCCCTTATATACCCTGGCCCGTGGCTGTCTATGAATTTCCGCTTGGAGAGTAAAACAGAGAAAGCTGTAGGCCTCTGGGCCTCCTCTGAAACCACAGCTCTCACCCGGGCTGGGCCTCTTTCCTATCGGTCTCTTTCCTGCTCTATTTTGTGCCCCAAGCCAGCCATCAGGGTCCACCTGTCTAGCCGGGAGGATCCGTCCCCAGTCCAAAACCCTCGGGGGGGGGGGGGGGGCTCAGTGCGTTCAGGGTAACTTCCTGCCAGACTCCTCTCTCACTGCCCCTCTTCCCTACCATTTCCTTCCTGAAACTCAAGGCAAACTGCCATCCTGCCCATGGCTCTGTCACATCTGTCATTTCGGCTTGGAATTCTCACCTCGGCCTTCTCAGTCCGGAGACACCCTATGCATTTATTCCAAACCAACTCATGTTCTCTCTTTTTCAAAGACATTCCCCCCTCCCGCCCCCAGGTTCTCCCAGCACCTGATACATCCTGCCCATGGCCGCTGCCGCCACACTACATGGCAGCCATTGGAGCGCTCGCTCCGTCTCCACAGAGATGTGACCATGCAGTCTCCTTCACAGAAAGTCAAAGCTGGCTCTATATTAATCTCGTTAAGATATAAATCTCAAACTCAGCAAACATCATACGTTCGCGTTTCGAGGGTGAAGTTTCCCTGGGAGAAGCTCACTGTATAGATGTCCGCGGCTCCCACGCATTCACTCACCCACTACCACGAGTTGACTCCGACACAGCACCCTTCAGGATGAGCACGTCCCCCCTTTGGGTTTCTGAGGCTCTACATCTTTATGGCACTAGAGAGCCTCATCCTTCTTGTGTGGAGCAGCTGGTGGTCTCGAACTGCTGACCCTGCCGGTAGCGGCCCAACATGTGACCACCACACCCAGCAGGGCTCCTGGCACCTCCTATCCAAAGAAGAGAGCTCTTTCTCTCAGACGAGAGACCCAGAGGAAGGCAGGTGCCACGTGCAACTCTTCCTTACAGCACCCTCCCTTTTCCTTGCCTCTGTGTAAACCAGTCCCTAGACGTCGTGTGGAAACAACACACCAACACACATTTCTGATGCATCAGGAAGAAGGGGCTGACTAGGCCATGGGATACACCCGGTTCCTCGAGACCTCCATGGAGAATGTATCAAACCTGAGCTGGCAGCGAACCTGAGCCTGGTTCTGACGGAAAGCATGGTGGGGAGCCCCAGGCCTGGCTAGCCTCTTCTGGGCCTCTCCCCGATCTCTGTGTCATCGATTCCCCTGGCAGACCTCAAGGGCTAGAATTCCACCGGGAACTCTGAAGGTGGGAAGGGGCAGTGGGAGCTGGGGCCACGGCAGCCACAGAACCAGATGTCCCCGAGGTGCCGCTGGCCCTGCGTGTGCTCTAGAGCATTTTCAATAGCTGGTTTTTTGTTTTTTTTTGTAGATTGCCAGGTCTTTCTTCTAAGGCACTTCTGAATGAACTCAGACGCGCAACCTTTTAATAGCGGCCGAGTGTGTCAGCCATCTGTACCACCCAAGGGTTTCATGCCAACCACAACCCACGGCCGGCGAGATGCTTACGAGTCATCCTGACCCTGCTGGGCTTAGGGTTCCCGAGCCTGTGAATCTTTAGAGCGGAAGACAGCAGCACCTTTCTCCTGCAGAGCAGTGGGTGGGTTTGAACAGCTGGCCTTGTGACTAACAGCCTGACATGACTCCACAGTGCCACCAGGGCTCCTTAGGGCAGCCAAGGACAGAGGGTCTTCCCTCTCAAGAGACACGGCTTTCTCTCTCCCTGCCCCTCCACGGACTTAGGATCCTTTTTCTTCAAAAAATTAAGAAGGGGGAGAGACATTTGGGGGGAGAGAAATCATCTAATCCAAAGCAATTTTGTATTTGCTGACTGTGTATTACGGATCATGCGCTTCAAGTCTGCCGAGAGGGACCATTTGTACTCTGAACAAACACATCCGTTTTAATTCTGAGTTTTCAGTTAATCATGCTTCTGAGACCAGGCTGCATTATCTGTGTGTGTCTCTTTGAGTTTTCCTTGTGTCTCTAGTCAAGGACTGGGGAGGCGGGTGGCGGGGTCAGGGCTCACTACCTCTGCATGGCAAGAACAGATCGCCTTCCTTTGGATCTCTCTGTGAAAATCACAGATTGACAGGCTCTGCTCACCATGATAACCCTGCCAAGGAGGGATCCTCTTTCTTAAAATGTTGAAGCGGCAACTTGCAGGGGTAGGTGTTCTTGTTGAAACGCGGTTCAACTTAGCAGAACTCAGCGCAGCTCGCGCCGTCTCCTCGGGTCGTGGTGTGTGAAGGCCCAGGCCGGCCTGCCTTTCCCCAGGAGAGGTAGGAGGTGGGGCTTACCTGTGACCATGCTCAGTGCTGACAGGCAGGCTAAGGCTTGGATATCAAGGTTCAGGCTCTTCAAATTGAAGGAAAAGTCTTTAATGGAGTCGAGCCACTCCCCAAATCCACGAAGGCACTGGAGTCGATGTAGGACAAGTCCATTGCAGAACACAAACTTATCTTCAGCGGTGTTCGACCTGGAAGGCCATGGCGTGGGGGCGGAAGTGGAGAGATTAAAATCTGCTTTGCTCATGCATCGAGTACAAACCCTTCCACCACCCCAGAAGAGCCCAGCAGAAGCGAAACGTTGTCGGCTTCTGTGACAGCCCAAGTTCCTCCGGGACTAGAAAACAAAACCCAAAATGAACTCACTGCCATCGAGTCAATTCTGACTTGTGGTGGTGCTAGAAGACAGGGCCAAGCTGTCCCTGGGGGTTTCGGAGGCTGCAACCCTTTCCTGGAGCAGAAGGCCTCGTCTTTGCTCCAGGGAGCAGCGGGTGCTTTCAAACTGCTAGCTCGTACCCACTGCACCACCATGACTCCTCTTCACCACTAGTTTCTGCAAACCCCCTCAAGAGTCCAAGCCGTCCTGCCTGTCGATGCGAAGGCACATGGTGCCTTGAACCATCAACAGCTTGATCAAGTCTTTTGCCTGACCTCAGCTCTGTGTCCGAGGGTCTCTTGTGCCCAAATCCCTCTGAGTTCAGGGACACTTTAGAAAAGTCTAGCCAACCAGACAATTCAAGGCACAGGAAGTGAAATGGTCGGGGTCAGCATTCGGAAGCCAGCATGATGCAGACAAAGGCCCAGACAGCTGCCAGTGGACAAGACTCAGCCCCTGGGGATATATCACCACCACTGGCTCACCTTTGCTAACTTCCTGGGAGAGTGGGCTCAGAGGAAGCTGGGCCTGGGGCGGCTGCTCTCTGATACCAGAGTCAGTGACTGGCTTGGCCTGGAACAGGGCCTGGAGGAGTGGCAGCCCAGGGCACCATCTCTCTTGCAACACACATGAGGTCATCCCCTTTCATGGTCCTTATCCAAGACACCCTTCAGTCTCATCCAGGTAAGGCCTGAGGCCAGACAGGACAACACCACTGCACAGACTTTAAAATCACCTCGCCTGCAAGTGTCAGAGTCCAATCGCAATCTAGGAAGTGGTCTACAGCAACAAGTGTCCTTGTTTTGCACTCGCGTGTCTGTGTTTAGCAGTGGGGCTGTGTTTCCTGAGGGTTTAGATTATGGCCACCATCACCTCCTTCTTCCCTGGTCAAAGAAGCCCTGGCTGTCGAGGCTGATGGGTCTATCACTCTACAATGGCTTTTTTCCAGCTCCTGGTTGGATATTACCTCTTCGCTGTGCGACCCTGGGTACTCCTCGAGTCTCTCTGGGTTTCCTTTTCCTTTTCTACGGGACAGGGATTCTAAGGACTACTCCTGGATTATAGTCTGCGGCAGAATTCTTGCCTTCCAAGCAGGAGACCCAAGTTTGATTTTTGTCTAATGCACCTGCCAGTCAGCAAAGGCTTACATGTTGCTGGCACTGGATGGGTTTCAATGGAGCTGCCGGAGTAGCATGGGTTAAGAATAAAGGCCTGGCATTCTACTATGAAGATGAGTGACTAAAAACTCTAAGGATCACAACAGTCTGACCTGTAATTGACAATGAGACTGGTGCAACTCCAGGCAGGGGGTTATTTCCTTGTGTATAGGGTCTCCAGAGCCAGGGGCCTCACTGAACAGCAACTAGCAACAATAAGGATTTCTGTGAGAATGAGAAAGGGTTTGACAGCCTATGCACAGGGACTGGTACACAGCAGGTGTAGTTCAACACCTACAGAGTTCGTTACCAAACCCACTGCTTTCAAGTTGAATCAGACACATAGCAAGCCTGTCTGTGTAGGATTCCTAAGACTGCAAGTCTCTACAGGAGGAAACAGCCTCAGTTTTCTCCTAAGGATGGGTCCATATGAGACCAGTGGACGGATGGAAGGAAGATGGAATCCTGGGGATTACCTGATGGAAAGCCTAAGAACAAACAGCTCCAAAAAGGCTGATTCTACAAGTAACGTCTGATCTTCTTTGGGGAGATCAGTAAATCCTGGGATCTTCTCTGCCCAGCTTCTGGAGACGTCAATGGAAGCAGTCAGAAGGTTGTAGAACTGCTGCACGTGCTCAGCGTCCGTGCCTGCAGCGGCCTGGTCCGTGGAACAGTACTAGGGTGAAAACCACATAAAAAGCCACGTTATGATCCGCACCCAATGGGAGAGCGGCAGCCTTTGCAAACCATGGCCCAACCCCGTGAATGCCCACATCTTTACTTTTAGGTCCTGAAGTTCGTAACACTCCTTCACCTCCCCTGTCTCATCCAGTTCTCACAAGGACCCCAGGACACAAATAGAGCGAATTACTCTGTGTCAGCTTGCCAGGAGATATGTTAATATCCCTCTCATATCGTGGTTTTCAAGACCTTGACGGTGCACTGTAATCACCTAGGGAACTTTAAAAAGCACATGTCTTCCTCCTCCTCTCAAAGATCCCCATGCAGCAGCTGATAGGTGGGGCCTGGGCACCAGGGATTAAAAGGCTTCCCCAGGCTGATTCCAGAAGGCAGCTAAGATGAAGAGTCACTGCCCCTGGCATAGGTGGAAAGTGGGCCCCCAGGGTCTTCTTACTTCATCCTGGCACAGCTTGCTCCCCAAAGGTCGCTGAACCCAGTCAGTGGTTCTCAGAATCATGCCCCTGAACCAGCACGCTCAGCAATCCCTGGGAGCTCACAAGATGTGACAATGAGCTCCACTCCTAGAAACTCCGTGTCCACCCAGAAAATTGTTCTTTCCAAGCTGCCAGGTGAATCTTAGGCATTCTTGGAGAATCACAGAATCAACCAATAGGAGGAGAGAAGGGCTTTTGCTTGCTATAAAACAAATCGGGGGCGGGGTGGGGTGGGAAAGGAGTTCTTGACAGAGCCCAGGGAGATGTGTGCCACTAGACCTGGGATTTATGGCTATTTGACTTAATTAAATTAAATCAGGTATGAAATATACAACTTTCCTCTAGTTCTTGAATGCTTCCTCCCCCTCACTATCATGATCCCAATTCTACCTTACATATCCGGCTGGACTGGAGGGTGTACACTGGCATAGATAGGAACTGGAAATACAGGGAATCCAGGATAGATGAACCCCTCAGGACCAGTGGTAAGAGTGGTGATATCAGAAGGGTAGAGGGAAGATGAGGGAGAAAGGGAGAACAGATTACTAGGTCTACATATAACCTCCTCCCTGGGGGACGGACAGCGGAGAAGTGAGTAAGGGGAGACGTCAGACGGTGTAAGATATGACAAAATAACAATAATTTTCAAATTACCAAGGGTCCAAGGGGGAGGGGAGAGCAGGGAGGGAGGGCAAAAATGAGGAGCTGATACCAAGGGCTCAAGTAGAAAGCAGGTATTTTGAGAGTGATGATGGCAACATGTGTATAGGTGTGCTTGACACACTGATGTATGTATGGATTGTGATGATTTGTATGCGCCCCTAATAAAATGATAATACAAAAAATTAAATCAAGTATAAAGTTGTTTCTCGGTCACACTAGCCATTTTTCAAGTGCTCAATATTCACATGTGGTCAATGGCCACTGTGTTGGACAGCACAGGTGTACAACAAGCACTTCAATCACTACAGAAGGCTCTGTTGGCCAGCATTGACAGTGATCTTGGGTCCTACGAGAGGTAAGGTACAAGCAAGCACTAAGTCTCTAGCCAGGGTCTGACGATTCTGGTAGAGCGAGGGTTTTGCTCTGAATACTGGGAACAAAACAGTTTCTTCCTTGAGGAAGGATGATGAATCTAGAAAGATGATACAGGCCCTTTCCGGAATACGAATGAGCTCCATTCCTGAAGCTGTCTTCAGGTTTAATTTGTATGTAAGTCAGAGCAGTTGGGGACGTATGGCTTGTAGTGGATGTCATGTAATCAGATGCTTGTCTTCGTATTTACTGTACCTTTCTATGCACGAAGACATATTACAGGAATTCTTCTAGCTGCACTAAAGCATCTTTACCACGATGATGACTTGGTGGGGGTGGGATGCAAATTAGCACCCATTTGTTATGGGAGGACCCTGTGTTATTGAGATACTGTTGTATGTACCTCCAGTCTTTAATAGAATAGGTCTTATGGGGTAGGTTCCAAGCTGCCGCTGGCACAGCTCCAGGCAAACTTTTCATTCTCTCTGGGTCTGTTTCTGCCTCTGAAATTTGAAGAGCCCAGGCTAGATGATCCCTGTGGTGCCTTCCAGCTCTGGTGTGCCTTGATTTGACCTGCTCTTAATTACACCAAATAAGATGCTACTGCTTAGAATTTGTCACTGATTCAACAGTAAGATTTGAAAAGAAGAAAGTTCTAATTTTTTAGAGGAAAAGGTAAAGGATGGAAACTTTTCCCTGCGACTGGGACCTAACTCCACCCATTGTGCACTGAACTCCCTGGAACGACCATGGCTGGCAACTCACCCCTCTCTGTTTCCAATGTGAGCTCAGATCCACCAGAACTCTCTGGCTTGGCCTTCACCATGGGGGGCTTGCTCGGCAGGGCTCTGCCCCTCCCTGCTGGGCTCACATTTCATGCATCCTGCACACAGGATAGCATAGTCCCTACATAACCCAGGGATGCCCTGTCCATGGTGAAGTTCAGCTGAGAAGGCCAGCAGGTCAGCTCCAGACTCCAGTTAGATCCTCTGGGATTCACCTGGGGGTGAGTCTGAGTCTGGTTCATAGTCCAGAAGTTTGGAGTCAACCTGGATTTAGCCTGAGCCACTAGGAATTTGATGATGCCCAGAGAGTCAGCAGAAAACAAAACAAAACTCCACCCAAGAAAGACTGAACTTGACATTGGAAGCGCTGGATCATCAAGC